TGTTTTGGTTTTTTTTTTTTAATATTGATAAACATTGTCTATCTCAAACCAACAAACTTAAATTAGCTTAAACACTGAATACATTTTACTTGAGTCCATGTAAGACACTTTGTTCCCCATGGTTAATTTTTACCTGGAAAGTTGGTGGGGAAATCCAACTTCGATGGTCTTCGCTCCTCAACATCTAGGGTGGAAGGAAGAGCTAATGGTGCCTGAGGCCTTGAGGAGTCAGTTATGCAGGCTGCTCCCACCGCCCCCAGGTGGTGCAGAAAAGGAGTGGGGGAAGGGAGGGCAAAAGAGGGGTGCCACCAGAAGGCAGAGAAAGAGAATTCCCAGTTTTAAGTCTTGTCAGCTCAGGCAGAGGAGCAGACTCCAGGTTTCTTTTGTTTTGTTTTGTTCTCTACCAGTGGAATTAGGCAGTCCGCGTCAGTCCAGAGAAGACAGGGAATTTCCCCGAAACAAAGGAGTTTCGGCGGCTGCTTGGGAATATTCTTTAAAGTCCATGTTCTGAGGTAGGATAACCAGAGACAGTTGGGTCTAATTATCATAGTCATTGACCCAGGAAATGAACAAGAGACACACAGTTACAGGGCGACTCCAAACTGCCGCCCAGCGCCCAAGGCCTTAGAGGTGCTGCTTCGTTCCTCTTCCCTTGTGGACTTACTAGTGCGACCCTGGGAGGTGACCAGCCTCCCTTCTGCCTGTTACAGGCAGGTCTGCCAAAACGAACCCGGGTTCTTACCAGTCTGACAGGCGCTCCCTGGGCCGGTTCCAGGGCCTCACAGGGTACTGCACGGGGGTCCTCGCCCCAGCACGTCGGGAGGGCTAGTCTCCTGTGGATCAAGGGGTCCGTTGGGGCCAGGTGAGCGGCCTCTCCCAGCGCCCTGAGGTTTGCATCCCCTGGGGAAAAGGAGGAAACACACCATCTCTGAATCCCGGATGAGCCCCCAAGCAATGGAGCAGGATTCTCGCACAGAGAGTCGTGACACTGAGGCTTTTCTTTCCAGGAAGCAACTGTATCCTAGCCAGCGTCTCTCAGTAGGGTTCGTACTCGAAGAACTAAGCCCCGAACATCACGTGGCATGGTTTTTTAAAATATATTTTTTACTTCTTTGTCTCCCACATATGGCAACATACAAACATGCAGTCTGATTAAGTGATCTCATGTTACAAGGTTGTGAGGGATGTTGTCACATAAGCGGATGGCAAGGTTGCCTTGAGATGTTCTTTTTTTTTTTTTTTTTTTTTTTAATTTTCCTTAGGGAGAGGATCCTACCACAGGGTCTGTAGGAAGTGATTAGATTTAGATGAGGTCATGAGAGTGAGCCCCCAGGGTGAGGTTAGTGTCCCTGTGGGAAGAGGCATGTGAGGGGCCCCTAGGCAGCTCAGTCGGTTGAGCATCTGACTCAGGTCATCGTCTCATGGTTCGTGAGTTCGAGCCCCACATTGGGCTCTGTGCAGACAGCTCAGAGCCTGGAGCCTGCTTCAGATTCTGTGTCTCCCTCTCTCTCTCTGCCCTCCCGCAGTCATGCTCTATCTCTGTCTCTCTCAAACATAAGTCAACTTAAAAAAGAAAAGACATTAGGGGCACCCTGATGGCTCAGTCGGTTAAGTATCCGACTTCAGCTCAGCTCATGATCTCACTGTTTGTGGGTCCGAGCTCCCCGTCGGGCTCTGTGTAGACAGCTTAGCGCCTGGAGCCTGCTGTTGTCTCCCTCACTCTCTGCCCCTCCCCGTCTTGTACTCTCCCTGTCTCTCTGTCTTTCTCTCAAAAGTAAAAATAAAAACAGTAAAAAATTGTTTAAAAACTACTTAAAAAAAGAAGAGACATGAGAAAACCTCAGATCTCTCCTTCCCTCTCTGCCTCTCCCCCTGCCACCTGACGATGCATAAGGGCACCTGCAAGCCAGGGAGAGGGCTTTCACCAGAAACGTGACGGCACTCTCATCTCGGGCCTCCCAGCCTCCAGAATTGCGAGAAATAAGTTTCTGTCGTTCAAGCCGCCCAGTTGTGGCATTTTACAAGAGCCGGAGTTGACCGAGGCAGGTGTGCAAGAAGATATGACACTGATGGGCTCCCAGGGGGAGTGCCTGGGAGCCGGGGGAGGCAGGGAGACCATAGCAGAAAAAGCCTGCAGGGAGAGCCGGGTTCATCCTTGGCACCCAGGCCACTGGAACAGCCACCGTCTCGAACATCGCTGGTCACTGTGTCTGAGAGAAGAGGGAGCTCAGAGTGGGGAGGAGGGAGTTCTTACAGTTAAATGCCCCAGCTTTGAAGTGACAGTATTCCCAACTCAGTGTCCAGGCAAAATAGACAAGGTGGGCTACCGTCCTGTGAGTGAGTTTAGGGATTTCCGTCTGCATCAAGGAACTTGGTGTGACCACAAGGAGGCAGTAGCACACAACTTTCAATCTCCCAGCCACAGTCCCTGGCTCTCTGCTGGGTTTGGGGGGCTTTGAGCAAGCTGTCCTCTCTGCTTAGAACACCCTCCCAGCCCCTCTTGGCCTAGTTAAGATCTGCCCAACTTTCAGAGCTCACCTCACTTCTTCAGCAAAGCCATCAGAGATATCTGATGATTAGATCAAATCATATTAGAGGCTTTCAAAACTCCCTCTTCATTTTGCTATAGATGGAGATGGAGAATGGTTTCCCAGTATCCAAATTTCCCTTCTTCTTTTAAGTAATGGAAAGCCCCCTCCCGTTTTTTTTCTTTTTAAAAATTTTTAAATGTTTATTTAATTTTTAAGAGAGACAGAGAGAGAGTCAGAGCACAAGCTAGGGAGGGACAGAGAGGGAGACACAGAATCTGAAGCAGGATCCAAGCCCTGAGCTCTCAGCACAGAGCCCGATGCGGGGCTTGAACTGACAAACTGTGAGATCATGACCTGAGCTGAAGTGGATGCTTAAGCGACTGAGCTACCCAGGCGCCCCACTGCTTCCCTCTTCTAAATAAGGACCCTTGTGATTGCATGGTACCCACCCAAACAATCCAGGATAACCTCCGCCACCTCATGATTCTTAATTAAACCCCGCTAAGGAAGTCCGTTTCGCCATGTACAACATTTTCCCAGGCTACAGGAATTGGGACGTCACCTGCTGTGGGGGAAGGCATCATTCTGCTCCCTGCCCAAGGACGAAAGTACGGAGCCCACTTAGATACTTAGTCTTCAGCGTGGTGAGCTCACCCAGCCACCCTGTGTATGTTTCCCAAGACCCATGCCAGGCCCTGGAGACATAGAGATGAAATGACCTGGTCCCTCTTGGGAGGATCTTGGGGTCTAGTCTGGGAGAGAGAGAGAATCAGAACACAGCACAAGGACTCAATTCGGGGGCCACAGGGCACTCCAGGGACACAGATGGAAACAGCATCTACTCTGAGGCCAGAAGGACGAGTGTGGTCGGCCAGGCGAGAGGGAACAGAGGGGAGGGGCAGCAGATCTGTCCCAGCCTCCGTGTGACACCTGGGAAGTGCCAAGCACTTGTGGGCGACACACAGAAGGAACCACTGCCTCACGGATGGTAAACTGTTTTGCAACTGTTAACTGTGATAATGTTCCCCTTCCTCTTCCTCCTTCAAAGGTGGAAGTGACAGAGGAGACCAAAGCCAGTAAAACCCAGAAGTCTTGACTCCACAGACTGGAAGGCATGGCTGTTGTCGTGGTCCTGGCCCTCAGGTGCAGCCGCGGGAGTCCAACCGCAGGAACACTCTGAAGTCCCAGACTGAACACGTGCACACGTCACGCTGTACAGGGCTGTTGGTGACGATAATGTGGGTTATGACGGTGGAATGACCCATACAGAGACATGGTCAATGGCAGAAAATGCAATTAGCACTGTCACTGCTATTCACTCAGTGATAGTCTATTAACAATATCAGCCATCAATAATATTCCATTTTCACCTGGCTCCCCTTAATGCCTGTCTCGTCCTCATATGCAAGTTTTCCGTCTCCAAGCACTTCTCACTGCTCAGTCAGTGGTGGGGTATGTAATTCTTCATTTTGGTGTTGTGAGTTCGAGTCACTCATTGGGTATAGAGATTACTTAAAAAAAAATTTATGGGGCGCCTGGGTGGCTCAGTCGGTTAAACGTCTGACTTCGGCTCTGGTCATGATCTCACAGTCTGTGGGCTCCAGCCCCGCCTCGGGCTCTGTGCTGACAGCTCAGAGCCTGGAACCTGTCTTCAGATTCTGTGACTCCGTCTCTCTCCGACCTTCCCCTGCTCATGCTGTCTTTATCTCTCTCTCAAAAATAAATACAACAAAAAATTTAAAATAAAATATTTATTTTTTAATGTTTATTTTTGAGAGAGAGAAACAGAGAGACAGAAAGACAGAGCATGAAGGGGAGAGGGGCAGAGAGAGGGAGACACAGAATCGGAAGCAGGCTCCAGGCTCTGAGCTGTCAGCACAGAGCCCGATGTGGGGCTCAAACCCACAAACTGTGAGTACATGACCTCAGGCGCTTAACCAACTGAGCCACCCAGGCACCCCAAAATCTTTAAAGAAGAATGAAATGCATAGATTGGTTGATAGATACTGAATAAGTATAACAAACAGGTGAGTGGATTAATAAATTGGTTAATCGATTAATAAAGGGAGGAATGGACAAATGGGTGCAAGAATGAATGACAGGTAAGGGCAAAAGAAAGGATAGATAATCCAATGAGAGGAAGTGGAAGGGGGGCTGGAGGAATCGAAAGAAAGAAGGATGGGAATCAGTGAAGAAGCAGAGACAAGGAATGAGGGAGATGGGTGGCTGGATAGTGAAGGAACCAGTGAGTGAGCAGGTGGAAGTGAGTTGAAGTACAAACTCCGTGGCCTCCCTGATGTGCCACTGACTTCAAATATGACTGGGGGGTGGGCGGGGGAGACTTCCTGCCAACCCTCTACTCCACCATTTTCCATCTGTATAACGAGGAGACTGGATTGGATGACTTTGCGGCCCCACCGAGGTCTGGTTCCGTCCCGTAAACCTGGCTCCCTGCTTAATTTCCCACAGCCACACGCGGTCCACAGGGAAGACTTCCGGGAGACGTTCTACGGGAGTCCCACGCTGATGCTCGGGACAAACCCAGAGAGTCCTGCCTGAAGCCAGTGTATCGCGTGCTAATTTGACTCCGAACTTCAGTTCTGCTGAATTTCAGTACCCAAATCTCAACCGCCAGGAGAACCGGGTGTCGAAATGACATCGTTTCACATTGTTTACCCATATTTTGAACTCCCCGATCTTTATACACGCACGGAGATCAATTTCTGTAACCAAAGGACACCAACAAATTTTGCTCATCTTCCTCAAATCGTGGATCCCTGTGTGTGTTAGGCACGGGCACTGTTCCACAAGCGAAAGGAGTCATGATCAGTATTTTTAATAAAATAGTAGAAGTAAATATTGCTTCATAGAATTTTGATTCCAGTTCCTAGATGTAAAACGGCTGTGTGCGCAGAGCTGTGATGTAAGCTTTGCATCCTACTCGATGTTGTCTCCCAAAAGGAGGGGGGGCTACATTAATATCGCTGATCTGAGCTTTTAAGATCTCTCTCCACATGTTGGGGACACATTATCTCATTTAATCCTCTCTAGAACTGAAATGGTAGATATTTTTTAGTTTCCCTCTCACAGACGAAAATTCAGGAGGCTCTGTGGATCGGTCAAGGCTATCCCCCTAGTGGGTGACGGAGCTGAGGCTGTCCAAAAAATGGAAGACATCCTCTTAGACTTCATAAAAGGGGGGGAAAGGGGCGGGGAAGGCGGAAGATTTAATAACAATAGAGCAGGATGTGTGATCCACCAAAATTAAGCAGAAAGCAAGAAAGGAACACGAGTGTTGAGCGGTAACAAGTGCTTAGAGGCGGAAAATGTGTGTATGAGGATGAGAAAGCCATCTGGGTTGCCAAGATTAAAACAGAAGTTCAATTAATAAATTCAGGAGAAACTGAATGCAGTCAGGGCTCCCAGAGAGGCAAGAGGGGAGGGGGAACGGCTTACGTTGTTTTTATAACCAGGAAGGCAGCAAAGAGCCAGTGGGAAGCAGGCCAGGTGCAATATATTAATGTCCAGGTCAAAGGTCTACTGTGCACACTGCTTGCTGTTGCCTTGGCAACAGACTCCTCTTAATCCTAATGACGGCTCAAGAAAACAGTCTGCACTGCTCCCAAATGAAGCTGTCATCAGAGAAGAAGTCCTACTTGATCTGATCTTGGTCTACCTTTGGGGAAGGTCTGGGGAGGGGTTTGAAAGAGGTTTGCTTGGCGACCAAGAATGATGTCATGAAGGAAATGGCAGTGAATTGCTTAAAAGGTGAGCTGGAGCTGGCACTACAGAAAAAGAGACTGTAACTTCCTTCCAGCCCTGAGCCTCGGGTAGAAACCACAGGTATCCAATAGCTAACATTTATTGAGCATTTCTATGGGTCAGTCACTTTTAAGGGCTTTGTGTGTATTTCCCACTTAATCCTATAATAATCCTATGAAGTATTATCAGTGAGCCCATTTTACAGTCAAGGCAACTGAGACTTGGCAAAGGTTGTTTTCTAATATACCAGTGAGTAAGCAGCAGCCCTGGGAATCGAACCCAGGCCTTGTGACTGGGAACACTTAACCACAGATAGAGCCTTCAACTGATCTAGGAGGCACTGGAGGAATGACCCGGAAGGGAGATTTGGGACACACAGCACGAAGCTTATTATTATCCAGAAGCTGGGGTCAGCCCAGGACCGTGGGGCTCTTGCAAGGGCCAGTCCAACCCCAGGGGCCCCTCCTCCTCCTCCCCGTGTCTGGACAGTCTTCTCACACTTCAGGGCCTCTACAAACGCAGTCCTCAGGGGCTCAGAGCCGGGCACGACACGGGATGCGAGTCCGGCTGCGCCAGTCCAAGCAGACCAGCAAGCCCAGGGAGACGAGCACCAGGCCGGCCAGCCCCAGGCGGACGAGGTTGCCCTGTGTGTAGTCCGAGGGGCCTGATCCTGCAGGCAGAGCAGGGGGGGCGGCCTTCAGCTCCGGGGCCCACAGTTTCCGCCCGCCCGCCTCCAGGGGTCTAACCTCCAGGGTGAGACCGCACACACCACTGCAGTCTCAAACTTGAAGGGTCAATGCTAGCAGGGGTCTTGAACGCCTGGGCTTGGGGAGGAGAGGATGGGGTCCAGGTGGGGGGCAGGGAGGAGCCGGGGACCCAGACTCCCAGGTTAGGGGGCAGGGAGGAGCCGGGGATCCAGACCCCAGGTGGGGAGCAGGGAGGGGCTAAGAGCCCGGAGCCCTGGCCTGAGGATCAGGGAGGAACCTGGGGTACAGACCCCCCGGGTCCGATGAGAAGAGGCTAGGGGCCCGGACCCCCAGGTGGGGGGACAGGGAGGAGCTGGGGGCCGACCCCCGGGTCCGATGAGAAGGGGCTAGGGGCCCGGACCCCCAGGTGGGGGGACAGGGAGGAGCTGGGGCCCAGACCCCCGGGTCCGACGGGAGGGGGCTGGGGGCCCGGACCCCCGCTCCGGCGGGCAGGGCGGGGCGGCGGGCGCCGCGCTCACCGGCGGCGCTGACGACGAGCGGCTCGCTGCGCCGCGACAGCACGTACGGGGAGGCGGGCGTGTGGTAGTAGCAGCTGTAGGTGCCGGGCGCGCGGGCGGCGGGCAGCGGGAAGTCGGCCC